TTTGTTCCTATCCAGTATAAACGTTCCCTAGTGAAATGTTTGTTCTCAAGGGCCCGAAAAATATGCACGAGTGACACACTGATGGATGAGCTTCGACATGTACATTCAGTTTTATTAGCTAATGGTTATCCGGAGAGCTTTATCACTTGTCACAGCAAAGAAAAACCACATCTCGAAAAGACAGCTTCTGTACCAAAGAAAGCTATCTTTATTAATTTACCATTCAAGGGCGACCAGATTATGCAGTTGACAGCTCAAAGACTTCGATCAGCCATCAAACGCACATTCTACGCCGCATCTCTTTTTCTCACTTGCCGAACATTTTCGATCCCTGTTCCTACGATTAAAGGACGAAATTCTGTGGACTCTACTTCAAACTGTATCTACAAGTTCACCTGCAGCTGCGGTGACACCTATATAGGTAGAACTAACAGAATGTTCCAATGTCGTCGAAAAGAACATATTCCAAAATGGCTAGTAAACCATATCGAAAATCCCAACGCGATTAATCTTAATAGAAATCCAGCATCATCCATTGCAAAACACTTATTAATGTCTGGTCACAAAATAAATATTAATGACTGTTTCACAATTATTTCACATAACTCTAATTCAAGGTTATTGAAGGTGATGGAAGCACTTTGGATTAATCACATACAGCCTAAACTGTGTGTACAAAAATCAATAGACTTCAATCTTCGCCTACCCTGGACTGCATGACCTATCTTAATATGATTGGTCATTAGTATGTACTTTTGTTTTTATCTAACTGAGTAAATTTCATGAACTTTATTTTATCATTGTTAACCATGTTAGTTGTAAAGCGGTTGTAAAGAAACTACGAAATGATATCATCTCGCGAAATTTGTCTTCTTAATGCCTTGTTCAAATTTATCAAAGGGACTAATTGTTTTAATATTTATTGAACTGTCTACATATATGCATATACTAACTTTGTTATTCTTATCACCTATATAAGCCTTATTAACAATATTTTGTTATTATTATAATCATCGCTATTAACTTCGTTCAAAACATTTACCACATTATTATTACTATTATTATTGTGATTATTATTATTATTATTACTATTATTATTTGATCCACTAAATCACCGTTATGGGTTGAAAAATTTTATATGTATAAGTCTATGTAAATTAGAGTAAAGCCTGAAGAAGATCTAATTGAAAACAATATTGTTCGCTCATATGTCTTGTTCTAAACCTATAACAGACAGCCAAGGGAAGCCCATTACCAAGGAAGATAAACAGATTAAACAATGGGCGGATCACTTCAAAGGACTCTTGAAGCGACCACCACCTGCAACCCGTCCAGAAATACCAACAACAGCGCGCACACAACTGCAAGTTGACACCAATCCTCCAACGAGAGCTGAAGTCTTGAACGCAATCAAACTTGTGAAAACTGGATAAACAGCGGGACCAAATGGAATACCCCCTGAAGCACTGAAAGCAGACCCAGAGACGACAGCAGACATGCTGACTCCATTATTGCAAAAGGTCTGGAAGGAGGGAAAGGTGCCTACTGACTGGAGGAAAGGTTACCTCGTGAAACTACCAAAGAATGGCGACTTAGGACTCTGCAAGAACTGGCGAGGAATCACGCTCCTATCGACGCCAAGTAAAATCCTGAGTCGCATCATCCTGGAGAGAATAAAGGACGCGCTGGAGACAGAACTCCGAACAGAACAAGCTGGATTCAGGAAAGGCAAATCATATGTGCGTCGGTGGCACAGTGGTTAGGACTCTCGCCCACCATGCACATGGTCCGGGGTTCGAGCCCTCGCCGACGCATACCTGATATCTATGGTCGGCCTGCGAATTTTGGGCTACCGATATCCACGCTGAAAATTCCATACTTGTACCAAAAATAGGGTGTGGAATCAAGCTGTAATCAAAAATATAAAAAAATAAAATAAAAAAAATATACTGACCAAATCGCAACTCTACGCATCATCATCGAACAAAGCATGGAATGGCAATCAAACCTCTACCTCAACTTTATAGACTTTGAGAAGGCCTTCGACAGCGTTGATTGTGAAGTAATTTGGAAATTACTCGAGTACTATGGCGTACCCCAATTATTCATCAAGCTTATTCAACAGCTGTACGACAACGGCACATGTCAAGTCATCTACAACGGAAGACTCAGCGAGGCGTTTGGAGTAAACACAGGAGTCAGACAAGGGTGCTTACTATCACCAATGATATTCCTAATTGTGGTGGACTGGATTATGCGTCAGACAGTGGGAAACGAGAAGATAGGAATTTCCTGGACCGACGAGAAGAACCTAGAAGACCTGGATTTCGCGCGTGGATGATTTATGTTTGATGTCACACAAAGTCGAAGACTTACAAGCGAATACCGACAAACTGGTCGAAGAAGCAGCCGGTGAAGACAGGACTCCAGGTGAACATAGACAAGAGAGAGGTTATGAAAATAACCAGCCAACAACAACAACAGCAGCAGTAACATCCATCGTCAATCACCATCAATGGGAGGGATTTGAAAGAGGTTACTTCATTCACTTATCTAGGGAGCATTGTCTCAACTACAGGAAGTCGGAACGGACGAATATGTCAAAACGAGAATGGGGAAGGCGAGAAACACATTCATCAACCTGAAACCAATCTGTAAATCTTCGTCACTCAGCATCAATAACAAAATTCGGTCGGATTTTTAATACAAACCTAAAGTCAGTTCTTCTATACGGATCAGAAACTTGGTGGGTCACAAAGAATATTTCCAAAAGGCTGCAGACTTTATTAAAAACTGTCTTCGCTCAATACTGAAGACCAAATGGCCGGAAAGAATCACCAACAAGGAATTATGGGAGCAAACAAAGCAAGAACTAATTGCCCAACAAATATGCAGGAGAAAGTGGAGGTGGATCGGAAACACGCTGAAGAGACCGATGGGTGATATCGCGCGCCAAGCCCTCGAGAGGAACCCGAAAGCGAAGCGGCGTGTGGAACGTCAAAGGGTGACATGGACGAGATCGTGTGAAGAGGAAGTGAAGGAATATATATTAACATGGATGAAGGCGAAAAGTATAGCAGAAGACAGAAAAAAATGGAGACGTGCCGTTGAAGCCCTATGTTCAAATAGGAACTCAAGGGAGCAATAATAATAATAAATGCTAACCACTGCTTTCTGTCCTCTCTCCATCTCCCTCTATCTACAGGTCTGCAGTCATCACAGTCCACCATCACTCCGTCAGCCAGTGACACCAGTCAGCCCACTCCGTCTCACCAGCCCACATCCACGCCACTCCTCCTCCACACCACAATCACACCGACAACACCCGGACTATCCGAGTCGCCCACAACTCCAACCACAACACTCAACACCGACATCATCGGAACCAACACCACTGTCACCACCTTCACTGGTGAGTCAATCTCAGTTTCCTCTCATTCTCCACACACCCGTCTCCCCAGTGATCATCTTCCTCATACTCCTCGCAAGCCTCTCCTAATCACTTTTTCAAAGGCTTTCCTGTTTCTTCCTCTCCTTGTTATCCCTTTTTTTTATACTGCCTTTTCGCATCATTTTCTCACTCCTGTTTTTCATTCTTTTCCTTTGAGTCTGTTATCAACTCTTTTTTCACTACTTTTTTTTCTTGAATATATTTTTTGTCTCTAGTCCTTTATTTCTTTCCTTTTTTCACCTATTTTCTACTGGTTTTCACACTGCATTACTCAACATTAATCACACGCATGCTTTTGTGTATGTTGAATCTCCATCGTCTTGTGACTGATGTGTATTAAACGCTTACATATCTGTCTTACACAAGTATGAAAATTTGTCTGGATTAATTTTATCATTATCACAATTAAAGTTTCTTGTGATTTGTTATGGTGAATCAGTGCTCACATGACAACTTGCTTAAGCATGAGAATGTCGAAATCACATTTCTCATCGAATTGTAAGTCATCGTAACAATTTGGAAGTGAGATGTGCATACTGATGTCGGGTGTAGAGCTGTCTCAATCATTCGTTGCACCGTCACCATCCTTATCATCTTCAGTGGAATTTGAAAGTTGGCCAGCCCAAAGAATATTCCAGCCAGATCATGCTCAATCAAATCAACATTCACATAGCTCCATTTCTCTGACTGAAGCTACGTGTCAATAAATGTACGCATTAAGTTCAGGAATTTCCCTCAATTTACTTTTTCAATGTGTTCATATGTATCTTTGATGCACACTCCATGCTGTGAAATAATTCAACAGTTGATATTTGAACACGTCTAGTCGACATTCTTCGATGTTTTGATGTCAACTGAATGCCCGCGTTATTATTCACTCATATCGGCTCACGTCGTTCAGAGAAAATGAACCACAATGCAGTTAAAGCATAATTCTAAAACAATGCAATCAACGAATTTAAAGGAATGACTCGTGATTGTCAATGATCACTCAATGATCAATCACACATCGACACTCCAACACTCACAATCTCTCTCCGACTCAGGCATAAACACACCAACAACCACACGAACACGCCCACACATTCACTCACACACACACAAACAAACAAACTCGATCAAACACATCGGATGATCACACATTCACACACGGAATACCTTAAACACGCAGATGCAACGACAACAATCACAATCTCCAAACACAAATCAACAACGTCAGAATGAGAACGGCACTTGTTGTCGATATTTTTCGATGTTTTGATGTCCAGTGTATGCCCACGTTATTATTCTCTCATATCGGCTCACGTCGTTCAGAGAAAATGAACCACAATGCAGTTAAAGCATAGTTCTAAAACAATGCAATCAACAAATTTAAAGGAATGACTCGTGATTGTCAATGATTTCGGTGTAGTAAAATAGCATCGATTGTCTGTGAACAGGCGTCTTTTCACACGAAACAATCAATTCACAAGGGATATCAGTAGTATATTGCTTTTCTTATTTTGGTTCCTGTGTCACAATCCTTTTGTTATCGTTTCTCGACTTTTAGAAATCGTGATCTTCCGACTTGCAACTGTATTATACACGGACAGCGAGAGAACACCGTATGTTTGGCAGCCTGATTTATCCAACACATCATCAAATGCATACATAAATCTAGCTCAAACATTTTGCAACAAGGTCAGTTAATCGTTTACAGTTTTATGCATTGAATGCAATTCACAATGATTCAGAACATGCATTTAGTGGATGACTTCGGTTTTGAGTCAGTTGAAAATTTAATAATACTCATAGATAATTTATTTTCTGCACGTTAAATGAAGTGCAACGGGTGCGATAAATCATAATAGTCATAGGAATAATCATATCCAGATTCTAACGGAAGATTCGAATTTCTCATTAAACCTCTAGCCACCGACGAGTAGCTCTCAATGCAATATCATTCAGATAGTTCATGCGACAGGCTCTCTTCCTTGTATATCTGAATTATTCATGTTGAATACAGAGAACACCGAATGTGCTGTCAAAAGATCAGGCGAAGTAATACCTAATATGGGAATGTCTGCGATTACATTTAATCAGGGAATTCGTGATACAGATTGAGCTGATTGATGAAACATTCAAAGTTCAATATCCACTTGGTTAATGACTCCACTTGTCAGCCCACTACACTTCTTGGCTTTCTAGTCTTGCCCACTAATAAAGATGACTGTTCATATCCACATTTTAAGAGATAATCTTCGTTTGGTACTGCTGTTCTGTTTGACCTACTTCATTCAGTTGAGGATGCTTCATTGCCCTTGCAAACAACGTTTTCAGCGCCAACTTCAGAATTAGGTGAGATTGTATGATTTGCGAGAGATGAAGTCACTGATTTTCTGATTATTCTGACTTGAACCTTACGAGCAGCAGAATAAGGGCAGCATTGATGACAACTGATCCAAGTCAGGATCATCAGGAAATTGGTCACTTCATTCATGGCGAATTCGGAAATCTCATTTAATTTTGAATTTACGGCTGAATATGTCGTCCGAAAGGGGATGGTGGAAGCTCCGCGATTGAAACACCGGGCACATAGGATGCAGTAACACTGGATATGTCTACTTGATGTACACATTCTCTACATCAATCCAAGAACATACGCCCATTTTCTTTGATAACGAAAGAATTTCACAAGACGGTGAGTGGAGATATTGCATTACAGTCAACATTACGAGGCAACTACAATGCAAACCATTTGACTGAATTCATTCGAACTAGTCAGAAACCACCCCTTCTTGTCGTTCAAATGATGTGCGCCCACAAAATTCCACATCACTTTTCATGGCGTCCACAATAATTACCTTTGAAATAATGACCTCTGAATTCTGGATTCATTTCTTTAGATTTTGGCCATTTTCAATCTATGGAATCCAGTTGCTTCCAAAGGAGCCCGATGTTACAATGTTGTATTTATACCAGTTGATTTTGTTATTCTTGAGAAAAGACAGTTGAATGCAACTGGTACCGAGGGACAGAATGCGACTCAAGGTGTGCAGGGGAACGCAGATATCGATTTGATTTCAACGAATGAGACAAATTTGAATGAAACGCAGTTGGTTGAAATCATTTCCTCTGTCCAAAATCAGTCAAATGTAACTTCGGATACATATTTTTTCAATGTACAAGCAATTCGTAAGTCACAAATATTTCTGGTAGTAGATTAAATGCAATGAAGCAGGTCAGATTAGGCTCGTATACAACAATAGTAATAATAATAACTGCTTTGTTCTACAAAGTTCGTCGTCGCATAAGACAGAATTTGAAGCTTGTCCTATGCCATGGTACTTAACCCATGTGCAAGACCTTCAAGTAATATAAACGTGATAGATAATGCACCATTTGAAGCAATATTGTTCTATCCAGAGCAGGTTCCATTGCTCTTGCGTTTACTTCAAAACATTCATATCAGTAGGTTGAGACCATACAATTCATGAAGGCAGTTGGATGTCTAAAACATCATGAAGTGCAGTAAGTATGCTGCGATGTGATGGATAGGAAAATTTGGTAGCCTGGTGTTTTCAGCAGGCCACCGGAATGCGTATATATATACATGTATATATAAGTGTATGTCAGATCCCAAACTGCTGGGCTAAGTAGTCTTCTGACATATCAAAATCTGAACGTAGATAAAGTGAATGGCTTGCGTTATTTAATTATACCAATTTCGGGAATGCGTGTTGGTGAATGGCACGTGTCTAGTATATTCAACTTCGTGTTGGTTTTTCGCTGTATGACTTCTAGAAATCGGCCGTGATGGTTTCCCATGACAGTCTGGAAGTCATTTTCATGTCTGGCTTTATGAGAACAATTATCATCCTAACTGCGAATATTTAAAATAACGTGAATCAGCCTACTCGTGTTTGCCAGTGAACAGCACTTCACTGCATGGCCTTCTCCTATTTGTTTTACAAAGCATAGAAGCCCTGCTCTTCATCCAGATCACCGGAAATCATATCAAACCTATGATGATGCCTGAATGTAATTTCCACTAATGATCCTCAGCAACCATAAGGAATACAAGTACCTCTCTGACACCGAACTATACCCGCGAAACAATTCAAGCCATAATTTTGTTCTCAATAAAGTGGGCACGATTTTATCGGGCTGATTTAATGGATTGGTATGTCATGAAGTTTACTGATCCTGCAGTAGACTTACCTGGCTTGTGGAGTTTACTATCTTGAGTTTTGTATCAATTGCTATGACATGAGTGAATCAGTTTTCGATGAAATATGCATTCAGTTTTAGTGCGTACATCCGCTATAGTATAAGTGTTGAGCTCAGAGAATGTTTGAAAACTTTGCAGTTTACCAATTGTAGTCTTCTACTTAACAAATCTGCCCACTGAAAGCGAAATGTATTTCTGAAAGGGGAAATTCTGTCAAACACTGTCAACCTAGGCTGATATGCATTTCTGTGCAAGACAAATGACATAACTGTCAGGTCGAATAGGTGATTAACTCAAATTCTATTCAACAAGGTGTTATCAACGAAAAATGTCCACAGGATTTTGTACTAAACTACTCACACACGCGTCTCACTAGTTTTATGCGCCAGCCAATTATTCGATCAAAGAAAGTGTATACGTTCACAGAGAAGCGAAAGTACAGGAAAAGAAATTGGGATAGCTGTACTCTTTGTCATTTTTTTCCTGGGTTCGTCATCCAATACGCAATGTGGTGAAATCAGTAGATAATAAAGCCCAAAACACATTTTTCCTTACTACAACATGCCAATCCCAATTTTTTTCTTTCTTTTCTTCAAGGGACTTATGTCGCACCTACAGCGATGACGGTGTCATCAGCACCTTTGACACAGACGACAAGAGAATTGCAGGGAGCAACTGAAAGTTTTTTTAACTTCACATCAACAACCACGACTGATGGGCATTTTACTTCCCAAGTCTATACATCAGGTAAGTTTCTTTATTTGTGCTACTGTGCTCATTCAATCACTATATGTTTGAATGAAGTGTCAATAAAGTTGCAAGATATTTAGAATGAAGCGGTGTACTACTGATCTGACAGAAGTATCTAGTGATCACTGATCAAGTAGACACCACACAGTTCTCCGGATGGTATTCATCTCCACACAATTGTCAGCCTCGAGAAGAATACAATTTGCATGCTGGACAATATAATTTTCAATAAAGAAGGAGATCGATATAAACCAACAATTGGACTTCATCATATATTGATATCTTTTGTCATGGGATTCCAATCCTGCATTCAGTTTCTCTCCATCCAAGGAATTTTCACGTCTAGAAACCTGTTATCTCATCTACATGAGAGTGATTGCTTGTAAAACTGTTGTCCGCGATAAGTGGAAAGCTTTTCTAAAATGAATACACAATGTGGAAGATATAGACATTTCAGTCTAGAAAACCAACGTCAAAGTGCACTTGGAACAGAAAATTAAATGTGCATACAGACGTCATCAATGTTCGAATATCTAGCTATTTCAACCTAGTCAGAATGATACTATCAATGCATATTGTATTCGGGATGAGTGTTAGACAGTTGTGTTAACTTTCTTCTGAAAAACAGGTAATAAACGATGTCATCCGCTCCTTGATTCGACGTGCAGGTAACCTCTCGGATCGCTTCAACACGAGAATAGTAGGCAGTGTTTGACAACTGCACTATTTGCAATTATTAGTGTTCTCTGAGCTGGTTGGTTTAGTTGCGGAGCTTTCGTCGTCTTTCTGAACGACATCTTCAGCGTAGTATTTAGGATAAAGTGAAATGATTAAAATGATCGCATCATTTCCAATATTTCACCACAATCGCTCAGAACTACTATGATTGCGTCTGATTGTTAAGATAGTGGTGAAAATCCATGTGGCGAATCTGAATTCCTTTATCGTCGAAGTAATGGCGGGATGTAGACTGGTAAGAATGAGTTGACTTTGTGTTAAGTAAATTTCATTGAGTACACACTCAACCGATTGCGTATCACTTAAATGTAAGACGTGTGGACTCTGACGCTAGTGAAATTATGAGAGACATTTAGTCGAATCCTGCATTGTGAATCTAGCCGCAGATTTTTCAAATGCATGCGAATTGTTTCACTATCCATTGAACAGAATTAAATGTGTATATTCGAAATACAACTCGGATAAATTATAAGGTGAGCAGTGAGTAAAAGGCATATCAGGGTAAGCGCTTAGCACACAACATACACAAGTGCCACAAAACGACATAATGAGGAAAACTAATACAAAACACATGTATTCACACCAAAATTAGCATAAGGGATCACGAGAAATCGAAGTGAGGCGGAAGTCAGACAACGGAAGCATAAAGCCACGCATAGGAAAAATTCCATAAAAGACTTGAAGCGAATAAGTGAAAAGCTCTGGAATGGGACTGTAGAAGTAAAAAGCTGGGGAGAAATAGAATGCGGATAGAAAATAGTCCTAAATAGTGGAAACCTCACACAACCAATGAAATAAGAACACGGATAAAAATCAAAAGAGAATCCAAAATAATCAAAGAAAAATCCCGCTTAAACAGAAGCGAAGAAGCCAGCGAGTCATAATAATAGTGATATTAATTATAATAAATGCTTTTGTCGAAAAAGTTCTTCTGGCACAAATGTGGAATTTTCAGCGTGTAATGCAATATCGAATCTAATTCCCTCACTAATTGAAATAGGGTATTTATACTAATATTGTTGTTCAATAAGAAGTGAATTTGAAATTAAATCAAGTGAAAATATTAGCAGTGAGGGACTTCCCATTGTGAAACGTGTACTGCTTGCTACCAGCAAGATAGGAATGCAATCACTTGATAATCCAGCACTTCGCGCGTAACGCAGCAGGCTTGTCTAACATAGAAGGCCTAGGTACAGAGTCGAAGGCAGATGTGCAATCTAGAAAGGCACACCGAAAACCTTTGGCACCTCTATCTACAATAGAGACAATGCTATGATATAAGACGACACTGGCATGCAATATACACATACTATTTTCATTCTAATGTGTATATCATTTGTAATTTGTCGGTGTTTTCGGCACTGTCTTCATCAAAATGACCTAGTTTGATGTTTAGAACGTCGAGATGCTAATACACTGACATAAGCTAACTTTTACGGTATTATTAGTATTATCATCGGTTTCTATTCTCAGAATCTTTTCGAAACATTTTTAACTGATTCCTCTTTCAGTGAAAATGTATTACTTTTAGTGGTATTATTTTCAAACTCACCTATTTTGAACAATGATTCAACTCGAATATCGAATCTGTCTTGTCAAATGCAGAGGAATCAAGCTGCCTCAAGTTACATAAACTATGCCATTCCACATTTTTATTCCTGAATTCTGTTTACTCACTCACTGAATACAGGATGGACCCAATTTGTCTCTTTATTTGTGTTTAGTTAGTTTTTTTAACATTTGCTTAGGAATTTGATGATTATCTACTGCTTTCGTAACACTACATTTCTACTCCTTATGACACTGATCCTAGCTGGTCTTTTAGTTTTTATTTGGGCTCTACTCATTTCTGTCAACTAAGATACGTCATTCAATTTACTTACTCAATTTTATCTCGATTACATTCCCATGTAATGAGTAGTTATTATCTAAAAATAACAATTTTATTAACTCGGATTTGGAAATGATTTTTCACTCTAACAATTTATTACATATACATGGAACTATACAGCCTGAGAGTGGAATCTCTAAAGAATAACTTTTGACTTAACGCCTCTTCTGTTTTGTGATTTGTAGGAATTTGAAGATTCATGATTGACGATAACGTTAGTATTATGCTTAAATTATCTTGTGCAGTGTGTTCACGTCGTAAATATATTTGATTTACACAAATAAGCAACTCCTGTCCCAATGTAATGTGAGAAGTTTACCAGTATCTGATTGGTCTTAAGATTTCTTTGTTTGATATAATTACGATTGCACAGCTTATGAAAATGAATCGCCGGAAAGAAAATTTTCTTCGCTGTTTGTGTCTTTTTCTTATGCAATGTGAGAAACCAAAACTCTAAAGATTATTGTGTAATTCGAAATAACGTACACGTTTTATTAGGAATAACTTACGCGAAAAAAAAGAAAACATTAAACTAGAAGAAAGGTAGATTTGCATCAAATAAAAAGCATTTAAAGTAGCTTAAAAATCTACAATAGACCAACCAAGAGGAAATTAATGAAAATATACATACAGATTAAATGCAAAACCTTAAATACCATATAACTTCTTCAGTTAATATCTTTCTCCACAGGAATAACAACAAGTGAAATACCAAGTGAAAAGAGTACCAAAGCCTCACACTTTAATACGATTAATACAGACAAAGTGTACACAAGCCTGCAGACAACAAATCTTGCCGCCTTTACTGACACTCACAATGATACAACCTCAACCACGTTCTTAAACACCACTGTCACCGACGCTGTCTTCACACGTGACACTGCACCATCACTCAAAATCCAGTCAACCTCCAGAATAACATCTCTTACCACGGTAGAAACCACAAGCAGCATCAGAGTTTCACTGCTTCCTACTCTGTCTGGCAGCAAACACACTCAGAAAGACACTCCCACTGCATATACAATATTCACACTACCTACACAGTCAGCAGATCTTCAGAATGACAGCTCAGCTGCATCATCCTCATCACCACAACCGTCAGCAGCACAGATCCTGCCGACTATGCACTCATCAACGCCACACACAATAATACCATTCCCAGCCACACATTCCGTTTCCACCATCTCCACTGCCACAGATGAGAAAACAGTCACTCCATCATCTGACTTCACTGCTAACTTTTCCTTTGATTTTCTCTCAACCATTTCACCCGTTCCTGTGTCTTCTGCTGCTATGTACTCTCCTACTTCCATTTCGTCCAGTTTTTATCTTCGTCTGCCTTGGTTTCTCCTTCTACACTACCTTCTTTCTCTCCACCTATGGTGAGTGTGTTATTTTTTCGTATGAATTGTGTCGTAGTTTTCAATTTGATTGTTTGATTTGTCGCAGTCTCAATGTTTTTAGCTGGTGGTTTTCCTCGCTATTTCACCTTGTTCAATTACTATGATATGTCTGATCATTTTAGTCAATATGTTTTTATGCATTGTGACAGTGATGGTTCTCACTACTTTTTATATTTGAACATGTGGCACATAGCATTGAAGACTTCAAAACTCCTAAACGTTGGTTAACATGAGTTCGAAACTCACTCTTCCCATCTGAAGTATTTTCGGATATGAATGATAAGACTTCTGCTAAAATGGCCTTCTGGTTTACATGAAGAAATCGTTTCGGCTGCATAATGAAACGCAGATTGATGCTATTAGAATTAACATATCTTGGTGCCCCCTATTTAAATACTGTATCACAACTGCTTTCAATTATCATCCAAAACATTTCCAATTGAAGTTACACTCAATTTCCACTTGATGGATTAAAGCGGACCTAAATGCCTGGTCTTTGCTGACTTTTTCCCTTTCTCGCCCAGAAGTCTTAACGATTTAGCGGGAAAACTAGCATGCCAGTAGGTTACCAATGGCTAAGATTAGAATAGCAGATGAGCATTTTGGCTCACCTGAGATTCGTCACAGCGTCGGCAGTTACTTATTATTTTTCTAATAACATTCAAAAGTAAGAAGTGAGCCCCTTAACTCCACTGTTAACCACCACCAACCAACCAGCACCATACCATTTCATTTATGAGTGACTTTTCACTTTTAATTTTTATAACAATCAAGTTTATAAGCATGTGTAATCAGATTTTCAAAGGTGTATGATGGGAGCAATCCATATTTTTTGGATAAACCTTGTCTTATGTTACTGTTATCTAACTGTTTTTCTCGAAGACATCAATTATTTCTTCCTTATGATTTTTTTCAATATACGGTGAGAAGTTAAGTATCACAGCCAGAGTCAAAGTCCATCAAAATTTTAACTTCAAGAACAATTCGTATTTAGGAAATGCTACAAAAAGTCATTTGAAACCAGGTCATACTACAATAGAAAATCCGTTCATCGGGTAGGGTACGGTATTCTACTTGTTACCTAGTTAATGATTAGGGTTGGTGTTAGAGGTGAGTGTTATTGTTTGTGGTTAACGCTGGGCTTTGTTTAAGGAAGAAAGTTAGGAATATCAACGCATCCGAAAGTATTGTGGCATACAACCACCTGGATGAGTACATCTATCGCGTATGGTATGATTTCTCTATAGGTTATCCTTTGAGTAAATGGGCGACAGTCTTACAACATATAAGAGACAGTTATCCTGTGCAATATCATGATCTTAATGTTTTTCAAATACATTTTTCGAAGATTGAACGCCTTTGTCACATTTGAATTCGGATTGATTATTCAGGGTCACTGTGATTTTGGCTTTAACTTTGCTCAGTGAAGATTTGGGATGTTCTATTTCTTCCCCTCCCCAGATTGGCTTTTTATTGTTTGCTGGGGTTTCCTTCATCTCTTCACTTCTTTTATTCTCATTATTGTCAGTTCTTCCTTAGGCCAATTTACCCTAATATGTGTTTTTTCTATTACTCAACACTTTTATGAATGATTATTTTCAAACTCCATTTTAACAAATACCTACTCTTACTATGGTTCATATTTCAGTTAAATCTCATTTTCAGTTAATAATTTATAGAAATTTGATTGGAGACAAGTTTGATCACAGAGTGGTATCAGTAAGAGAAGCATTGAAAACCAGCTGATTAGGTACAAAATGGCTGTTTCGTCCTGGTTTGGGACTTTTTGGTAGTACACTCCTATGACCCCTCTGGTCACCAAATCCAGAACATTGAGGTTACGAGGAAAACACTTCGACGATTCAACTACTCGTATACATTCCACTAGTCCATTAATTCTAGCCGAGTTCACTACTCGGAGCTTTCGTGAATACGTACTTTTAGAGAGTTCCACTATAGGGCGAAACAGTTGTCCAGTAATCCTTGGTTTTCAATAGTTCACTTGATGAAATATTAATCCATGATCAAATTTAAATACCACTTGTTCACACTGTTTACTGCTTCTCTACAGACTATAGGCCTTCTTCGGTACTTAGGTCAAAATTTCGTTTTATAAATTTTGTTTCACTTAGCCGCACTTTTTAATATTGGGGCCATTTTCCTATTTCTTTGTCTACTCTTCGGCAAAATATATTTATGCATCTCAGCTGTCAACACTTATCCTTGTGATTCTTGAAAAAATTCAAGTCGTATGGATGTTATATTATGACTTTTTCTTTGTTATTCCAGCTTACATTTATAGAATCCCTGAAAATGCACCACACGTTTTTGCTTCACTGATTACAAAATGCCTTTGATTTGTTCATGTGTTCACCAGTTCGTTCATTTCACTGAAACATGATATTATATTTCTTGTTTCATAAACTTTCTTTCATGAATAGGTTACACATTCTATTCAACCTACATTGTCAACTGGTAGGTTATGATTAAACTTCAGTTGGAATTTTTCTGTCATTCAATAAAAATTTATTTTGAAGTTTATTGTTCTGGTGACCTTATGATTTAAAGTTAAATCTCATCATCTGTTCCTGACATTCAATTGAATTAATCACGTTTTCAGTTACTTATTCTTTCTTGAATTTTATTTATGTTTTTCTTTTTTTTGGTTGATTGGTGGTTGTATTTGTCAATAAAAATTCTGTTTATATGATTTGATGCAAGACTGCTTGAGGATATTTCTTAAAGAATCCTTGTTCAAAATGAATATTATTATTATTAAACGACGTTACTAAATGCATTCACTTTTTGAACTGTATCTTTCTGTGCAAAGCATGAGATCATCTAACACCCGAAGAAATTAAATATCTAACTGCTTCCATTTATTGAAGGGATACTGTGTTAGAACCTAGTTAACCAGGGAATTCTTTCATCTTTCACCAGATGACAAGCTATACTTATTGTCTGATGGCTGCTGATATTATCCAGTTATCTATACTAAGGTGGATGGAGATAGGAGTCGAACTCGGAATATATACACTGGAATTTGAGTACTCAAAGAGATAAGCCGCATCTTAATGGACAAAGACTATTAGGCCTAATAATATTGATTTTTATTTTATCTAGATTGCATTCTTGATAGCATTTCTGGTGTCGAACAGGCTGTACATGTTGGTGTGAACCATAATAATAATAATAACCTGCCACAAACATATGTTTTATTTAACTCTGAAATTGAAATGCCTATATTCCGCTATAAAGTCGAATAAATCAATTATTATTTTGTAATATAAGCTAACTTCCTTTGATAGCTTAATAAATCACCGTTTATAGTCTTCATGTTCTAGTGTACCATATATATATATATATATATATATATATATATATATATATATATATATATATATACTTAAGTTTGATTTATAACCTAGTAAGATTGTCAAATTAGACTTTAGAACAAAAATGAATGAACATCTACTGAACGACATTTATTTTTCTGTGTAGATTCATGCTACAATAGGCATTATCATGTTCCATTGTTATGCAATCATGTATGCAGGCACTGGAAATTAACACATTTGCTTTTATTTTTAGTTGACTGGAGATCATATACAGATCAGACTATTATTCTCTTTTCAAGGCATTCATTGACATAAGATTAGCAGAGTCAGAATGCACTGAATATGAAAAATCCCATAAACAGACACTAACAACAATCTATCAAGTTTAAGTCTAGCAAAAAGGCAGTAAATTACTTCATAAATTCAAATTCTTGTATGGTAAAAGTTACTACTTTTACCTGCCCCTTGAAGAAATCTAAACTTTCAATCATAGTTGTAAATAAATGTCTGAATGGCAATGAAGGAATTAAACACTTCGCTCTACAGATATATGTAAAAGCGAGACCAGACTCTCACTGTGAAATGATGTCATTCTATTTCATAGGTTCTCATCAGCTGCAAATTACCTGAAATTACAATGGTTATAAATAATTACACTTCATACTTCAATGTTTGTAAGGTGATACAGAAAACATTATAAACGAACGCATCCGGTATATAAGTATTACAATTTTTAGTTTAAGCCATCATCAATTTGTTTTCCATCAAACTATGAAAAAAGGGGGTGAGAGAAAACGGAAAACAGTAAGATCTAACAAACAGTGTTAGCTTGTTCGTCAACATGGTAACTCGAGAAGGTCAAAGTTCATCAGTTTGAAAACTTGCTCAATGACCTAACGTCACTACTGCGTATGACTAATCAGTGTAATGAAAGTAATATGGTTACAAAGGGGTGAGAGATTGACTACACTCTCTATCTGTGTGCATAAGTTTGGTCTGAAACGTTAGACTGCAATTGCTTCAACAGTAAGTCGTAGTAGATTTGCTGTTCTTTGTTTGTTTAATATTTTGAAGGATTCGGAAATCTCGACAAAATGACCCGTATCCATAAGTATCTGGCAATTGCACTTCTTAAATATCTGCTTCGTTTTAAGCATAAGTTTCTTGGGTTATACTGTGAAAACCGGATAGAAGGTCTTCTTTCTGTCCTTCCAATGTACTTGCTGCCGCAGGTGCATGTAAATTTGTAAATGCAGTTGAAGGTAACATTAACAACATACTTATACAGTTTCGATTGGCTTATACAGCATGTAGTGTTGTATAGTGTCACCAGCTTAACTGCAGGGAAGTATTCTTTTATTGTTACTTTCATCCTCTTGTCAGCCTTTTGTGACACTGCTTCTCCTTTGAATGAAAGGCGAATGAACACTTTCTTCTCTTCAACACTGAAGTATGAAGTGTCATTATTTATAACCATTGTAATTTCAGGTAGTAGTTTGCAGCTGATGAGAGCCTTTGAAATAGAATAATATCATCTCATACTGCAAATCCAATCTTTCTATCCCTGTCAAACTTTATCAACGGCAGCAAAATTATCATTTGGCTGATTTTTATTTCCTAAAGCGATCGAATACTGACTACAGAATTGGGTGAACTTCGGTGAAATAAAAATGGTGAAGTGTGCCAGTGATTTAGTTTTAGAATGCTCGTAAACCCCACATTGAAGTTTGGGTTCAATACTTGGCCAACACACTTTTTAACCTAGAACTAGTTTTATAACCATTAAGCGGTAATGCTTGGGGAAAAAAGAAAGATTGAGAGTGAGGTTGGCAATCTCACCATAAAAAGCAACAACCCACACCACTACTTAAACTTCAAAAAGCTTGAAGTCAATGTTTCACTCAGGACACAAGAAGTGAAAAGAGCCTCACATGGAACCATTCTATACACCATACAATTTTTTGAAATTTTTCTGACGGTTAGGTGGAAAAAGACCTCTTCATCGTCTATGTAATCACAGATTTATAAATAGCCATATTGTGTTGTAAATAATGTGTTACGTACTCTTCCTAAGCTATTCGAAATTCTACTACTGAAATCACTCTGGCTGATGTCATTGAATTAGTTGAAAAACAAAAAAATGGATCATTTATATGCCAGATTATCTTTATCATTGGCAGCCCAGTCTAAAAACAGTGTCACATGTTTCAATGACTCTCAGGGTCATACAAACACTTGCTTATTACTATTACATTCAAAATTCCAATGTTAAAAAAAGAGGACTTTTACCTTGATTTTCTCTTATTACAGGTATTATTAACACTACAGAGACAACAATCACCACAACCAGCTCAGAAACAGCTACAACAACAGCAGCGTTTGACAGTAACTTAAACTCATCCACACAAAGCGTTGACATCAAATTCACAAATGCATCATTCAGTTCTACATTACCCGTAACACCAAGTGATGGCTTCTCTTGGGAATTTTTCGAAAACACTTTACCACCAAAAGTTGACAGTAAGTTTGTTGGAATGAATACATGTTATATAGTATTTGATCTAATCAAATTCTGATAAGCGATAACTTTTACTAAGTATGAGGTGGAGAGAATTCTGCTTTCACACGTCACTTTGCCGAATATAAATTATATCGTTCTTCCAGTGTCAAGTATTACGTGTTAAGTATTACTTTGATATTTCACTTTCAGTATTACGACATGTAGTAGGCCCTATCAATTCAATAAAGTGAAGGGAAAGTGTGTTAGTTAATTCACGTCTTCACTCTACAAACCATTTTGTGATTTTAACCACCATCTTCTAATGGAGCGTTTTTAGTGTCTAAGTCAATGCGACAAGTCTTTACTCTATGCGCTTTTTCATTTCTAGTAAAAACTGTGACTAAAATTTCTGTTCACAGAATTTCAGCACTTCAAGTGTATATTTAGCAAAGTTTCTCTTTTTTAAAATAAGATTTGTTAAACAGCCTTCATTGTGTTAGTTTTAATCCAGTGGAGAGTACTAATTAACTCCATTCATTCAGAGTGTTACTCTTGCTGATAATGATTACATTTGAAGGGTGATCACATAGTGGTATAAATTAGACAAGTACTGAAGACCAACGAGTCCTGGACAGTTGTTTCATTCTAACTTATATTACTTTACATTGATGTGTCACTGGGAAGTAACTTTTGTCATATGCTCAAACCTTCGTGTTCAATCACCGAAATCAAACCAAGTTCACTTTTAACTGTATGAAAAATATGGGCAATGGGCATATGATATTCATTATTACAAAACAGTTTGTATTTCCAGTGAAGGAAAACAAAACGATACCGTTGTGTGTTTACTGACGTCTCGCTATTTAATGCTGCTGGTAATAGCCTTATCAATGTAGTAATACTAAACGAGAATTTACAAAATGTTAGCTGATATATAACAACTTAATCATCGCTCATCAGTCTGGAGTAATTTTTACGTTGTCAGGTTGGCCAGTTGGTAGGGATAACACAGTCAGGTGCAAATAGTTGGATTTGATAAGCGTATAAATTATTCTTCAGGGTCTACAATTATAAATCCATTAATTTAAGCATACAATAGGCAGCCAGTAAAAGCAAATTAGAATCACATCAAAAAGGTATTGCGGAACAAGTATAAGATAGGATGGAACAATAGTGAGTTAAATTTGAATATGCATGGTCAATGAGAACATGAGATAAAGTGTGGATGAAATAGAATAATTGTTGGAGGATGACTAGCCATGGAATCCAGAATGCTCATTTCGTCCTAATTGGAACTCGTCATCTGGATGTGCCTGCAGTCCACATTGAGTGATGATGTTCCCACCGAGGCCAACATGTCAACCTGAGACCGAGCACTTCAGTCTAATCAATATACGGGAAAATCCAAAATTTAATTAAATGTAAGTGAAATAATTTAGTGATGTGTGTGTATAAATTAATATAGTTAAGAAAAGTTCACGTTTCGAGAATGCGTGTAATCATTGACGTGTGAGACGATATGTATGCTACAGAAAAAGGGAACGATAAGTTAGCTTGTCAGTGTGCATCTATGAATTCAACTGCTCATGTGGAGGCAGTTAAATCGGTCATACCCAGAGGGCTTTATCACTGCGCGCACGTGAAAATGTACCTGTATGATTGAGTAAAGAGGTAACCAAATGCGTAAATAGTGAAGTCTTAGCCCACTTGGTAGATACTGGATACTCAATAAAATCAGAGCAGGCGTTCTCAGTTAATTACCGCCCTCCTGATAATTTCTCCATAGGAGTTTGACTGCTCCTTCTATCAGTAGCTGAAGCGGTTGCAATCAATGCCAGAAAACTGACTCTTTGTGTACAGACAAGGTGTGTGCAACCACTATACTTACCTTGACATACAAACAAATCTTCCACAGACATTGGCACTTTAAATTCCTATTGCAATTTTTTCTTTCCTTCTTCTTCGTTTCCTTTGTTTCATTGATCAACACTCATTTCTAACCTTTTACGGCTTCATAACCTTTCTTATGATTTCTTCCATCTTAAGTATAAGTAACACTTTCCTAGTTTGTTACCATATTTACAAGATCTTGTTAACTTGTCATTATTATTATTATTTGGATAGTGTTATTAGAAGACTGAGATTATCTGAAACATGTGATGTATTTGCGCTGTATATTTCGGACCATCTGATCACACATTTACTTGTCAAGTCGATAGATATGAAAAAGGTAAATTAAACAGTGACAAAAAAGGATTTAACAATGATTAATGGGGCTTAAGTTTATGGATAGCTAATCCAGTAAGCGCCCTTGACCATTTTTATCGATGACCTTAGAGGCTGTGTTAACACCATTCTTATGGTTCATCGCGATTAGATGTTTGGCTACAGACGACGTTAGTGGTCTGAAAATTGCGTCTATTGGTTTTCCACAATTCATTTGGTTTTCTAACCATTTTGGGTTATGCTCTCCCACTCTCACATGCAAAGCACAACTACTCGTCCCTATGTATGTGTGTCCACACACACACGAAAATTGTTTAGAAACGTGATATGTGGCATAATCACTTGTGTACTTTTGAGGCCTGCAGTGGAGTATATTTTCGGCTTTTTCAACAATTTTCTATATATTGGTTTGTAAGGGTTAGTTTTGTTTTTACGAGTTGATTACGGATTGATATCAGTTAGAGAACCAAGGAGTACTGGACAGCTGTTTCATCGATAATTACAAGCCGGACTGCACAATAGGTCCTACGGATGACTAAGTTCAACCTTTGTCTCAAAATCCTACTGTTTACCTCCTCATCATATGAAAATTTTATAAAAAGATTTTTCTTTGGAGGGGGGGGAGGGGGTATTTTTTCTTTGTAGTGTGTTAGTCTGATGTTTTGAAGAAAACTCTGATGTCATGGTAATTGAGTACTCTGCTGATATAGTCTGACGTTTCTGATCTATATGGGATGACAGATATTGGGGCTCATGTCCTTGGAATACGTTTTTGACCATATTTAATCTCAGTGTTGATTTCGCGGATGAAGTTCTCTGGGTAGTTATACTGCTTGAGAATCTCAGTAATGTTTGATAATTCTTTTTTTTCACCCGTTATCAAAAAGTGTTCTCACCTGAGAAGACTTGAAACAACTGCTATCTTTGCGCTGACAAAGTGTGAATGGGTTTTCTTCCTGAATATAGAGATACTAAAATATCCATCTTCCCTCCTTTTAACTAGGTAAGCTAGATATGGTAGTTCATCAACGTCTAATAATATCTACATAAGTAAAGCATATTTTAGGTGTGAGTATGCTTGTAAAGTTGTTGTCTTCTATGCGTTCGATCACCGAAGTCTACAATTCATTCATCAAGCTAGGATAAACGCCATTACAGTCAATTGTTGAATTCATTACTTTCAGATGATTGAAGTCAATCGATGGTTATTAATAATAAGCGCGAAATCTAAGTCGACGACTTCCTCGTTGATTTTTTCAATTCAGTGATAACGCGTTTTTAATTTCAAAATGATTGTCGTCATGTGGCGTTTTTATTCACTTCTTCTATAATGTATTACCCCCCTTCTATTTCAGATCCTTTAGTCGGTGAAATGAAGGCATTTATTTTTTCAGCAGAAACATCCCTTCCGATAAACTGGACAGATGATTTAATGAATAAATCCAGCGTACTTTACAAGAATTTAGCATCAGAAGTTATTTATTTAGTAAGCATTTATGCATACATAATTTTTTCCCATAACTTTCCTTTACCTTACTCACAGTCATGACAAGGTATTTGTAAATTATATTATTTTTTCTAATTGTGTCAGCCTACAGGATCCTTCAGCCTACACAACTTGTCCCTGGTGTTAAATAACTATCCTATAAAAATAATCATTAAGCTTGGAAAACGTCAAAAGCAAAATAAAAATAATGGTGAAACTAATAATGATATAATGATATAAATAAGAAAGAATATAAGGCATCTACAGTAGTTTTACCATATGAGGCGGGACATCTGAGACACTACATAGGATTCTTAATAAAGCAGAAACTGGGGTGTCATTTAAACCTATAAACTCACTCAGAGACAAACACTATAGGTTAACGGACCCTGTAGGTTGACACAGTTAGACAAAATAATATAATTTACAAAATACTTTGTTCCGACTGTGAGTGAGGTAAACTATATAGGTCACACTAGTAGGTCGGGAGTAGTCAGATTGTCGGAAAGTAAGAATTTAACTAAGGTAGGAATGATTGGTTCAACGAAGATGAGTAATTTAGAACAGAGTTCAACAACTGCACTGCACACGTTAACACATAACCATACAATAGGATGGGTGAGACAGAGATAAATTCCAAATAGAAATATAGGTAGGTGGAGCACGAGAGAGGTTGATTACTAAAACTTAGTTCGCAGAATCTACACTCAACATATGTAATAGAAATAACTAATTGCTGATACCAGAAATATGGAAAATACTTCTACCGATCAAGAGATGTAAAATAATGGAAATATATAAGTGAAGTTAGAAAGCTGTATGAGTAACTTGATATGATTATGAGCCACCATACACTGCGCTCGAAATGTTATCGGAAATAAAACTGCAAAACAATGTGACATTTCATCATGATTAATTATTTCCATAATTATTGAAATTATTCACATAGGTGTAAAATAGATCACGAATGATATTATCTAAATTCAGGTATAAAAAAACGAACCCAGTTGGTGTTTTCGCTATTTACAGGTTCATAACGGATGGATATCAGTTAGAGAACCATTGAAAACCAGGGAGTACTGGACAGCTGCTGTTTCATCCTAGTTTCCGAATCATCGGCAGTACGCACCCACTGGGATTCGAACCCGGGACCTTCCGGTTACAAGGCAAGCTCGTATACCATTCAGCCACTGGGACCCGATTCAATCGCTCGTGAATTCTAACTTCTACTAATTCGTGATTTAGCGCGACCCCAACCATTGTCGTTGGTGGGACATCCATCCACACACGTGACATCTAATTGGACCTCAATGGTCATGACTTCTCACTAGAACTCAGGAAACTCCAACCTGTAGCAAGTCACTAGCCAGCATCAGATTAACTTTCTATAGTTTGGTTTGTAAGCATTAGTTATGTTTTACGGGTTGATCACGGATTGATATCAGTTAGAGAACCATTGAAAACCAGGGAGTACTGGACAGCTGCTGTTTCATCCTAGTTTCCGAATCATCGGCAGTACGCACCCACTGGGATTCGAACCCGGGACCTTCCGGTTACAAGGCAAGCTCGTATACCATTCAGCCACTGGGACCCGATTCAATCGCTCGTGAATTCTAACTTCTACTAATTCGTGATTTAGCGCGACCCCAACCATTGTCGTTGGTGGGACATCCATCCACACACGTGACATCTAATTGGACCTCAATGGTCACGACTTCTCACTAGAACTCAGGAAACTCCAACCTGTAGCAAGTCACTAGCCAGCATCAGATTAACTTTCTATAGTTTGGTTTGTAAGCATTAGTTATGTTTTACGGGTTGATCACGGATTGATATCAGTTAGAGAACCATTGAAAACCAGGGAGTACTGGACAGCTGCTGTTTCATCCTAGTTTCCGAATCATCGGCAGTACGCACCCACTGGGATTCGAACCCGGGACCTTCCGGTTACAAGGCAAGCTCGTATACCATTCAGCCACTGGGACCCGATTCAATCGCTCGTGAATTCTAACTTCTACTAATTCGTGATTTAGCGCGACCCCAACCATTGTCGTTGGTGGGACATCCATCCACACACGTGACATCTAATTGGACCTCAATGGTCACGACTTCTCACTAGAACTCAGGAAACTCCAACCTGTAGCAAGTCACTAGCCAGCATCAGATTAACTTTCTATAGTTTGGTTTGTAAGCATTAGTTATGTTTTACGGGTTGATCACGGATTGATATCAGTTAGAGAACCATTGAAAACCAGGGAGTACTGGACAGCTGCTGTTTCATCCTAGTTTCCGAATCATCGGCAGTACGCACCCACTGGGATTCGAACCCGGGACCTTCCGGTTACAAGGCAAGCTCGTATACCATTCAGCCACTGGGACCCGATTCAATCGCTCGTGAATTCTAACTTCTACTAATTCGTGATTTAGCGCGACCCCAACCATTGTCGTTGGTGGGACATCCATCCACACACATGACATCTAATTGGACCTCAATGGTCACGACTTCTCACTAGAACTCAGGAAACTCCAACCTGTAGCAAGTCACTAGCCAGCATCAGATTAACTTTCTATAGTTTGGTTTGTAAGCATTAGTTATGTTTTACGGGTTGATCACGGATTGATATCAGTTAGAGAACCATTGAAAACCAGGGAGTACTGGACAGCTGCTGTTTCATCCTAGTTTCCGAATCATCGGCAGTACGCACCCACTGGGATTCGAACCCGGGACCTTCCGGTTACAAGGCAAGCTCGTATACCATTCAGCCACTGGGACCCGATTCAATCGCTCGTGAATTCTAACTTCTACTAATTCGTGATTTAGCGCGACCCCAACCATTGTCGTTGGTGGGACATCCATCCACACACGTGACATCTAATTGGACCTCAATGGTCACGACTTCTCACTAGAACTCAGGAAACTCCAACCTGTAGCAAGTCACTAGCCAGCATCAGATTAACTTTCTATAGTTTGGTTTGTAAGCATTAGTTATGTTTTACGGGTTGATCACGGATTGATATCAGTTAGAGAACCATTGAAAACCAGGGAGTACTGGACAGCTGCTGTTTCATCCTAGTTTCCGAATCATCGGCAGTACGCACCCACTGGGATTCGAACCCGGGACCTTCCGGTTACAAGGCAAGCTCGTATACCATTCAGCCACTGGGACCCGATTCAATCGCTCGTGAATTCTAACTTCTACTAATTCGTGATTTAGCGCGACCCCAACCATTGTCGTTGGTGGGACATCCATCCACACACGTGACATCTAATTGGACCTCAATGGTCATGACTTCTCACTAGAACTCAGGAAACTCCAACCTGTAGCAAGTCACTAGCCAGCATCAGATTAACTTTCTATAGTTTGGTTTGTAAGCATTAGTTATGTTTTACGGGTTGATCACGGATTGATATCAGTTAGAGAACCATTGAAAACCAGGGAGTACTGGACAGCTGCTGTTTCATCCTAGTTTCCGAATCATCGGCAGTACGCACCCACTGGGATTCGAACCCGGGACCTTCCGGTTACAAGGCAAGCTCGTATACCATTCAGCCACTGGGACCCGATTCAATCGCTCGTGAATTCTAACTTCTACTAATTCGTGATTTAGCGCGACCCCAACCATTGTCGTTGGTGGGACATCCATCCACACACGTGACATCTAATTGGACCTCAATGGTCACGACTTCTCACTAGAACTCAGGAAACTCCAACCTGTAGCAAGTCACTAGCCAGCATCAGATTAACTTTCTATAGTTTGGTTTGTAAGCATTAGTTATGTTTTACGGGTTGATCACGGATTGATATCAGTTAGAGAACCATTGAAAACCAGGGAGTACTGGACAGCTGCTGTTTCATCCTAGTTTCCGAATCATCGGCAGTACGCACCCACTGGGATTCGAACCCGGGACCTTCCGGTTACAAGGCAAGCTCGTATACCATTCAGCCACTGGGACCCGATTCAATCGCTCGTGAATTCTAACTTCTACTAATTCGTGATTTAGCGCGACCCCAACCATTGTCGTTGGTGGGACATCCATCCACACACGTGACATCTAATTGGACCTCAATGGTCACGACTTCTCACTAGAACTCAGGAAACTCCAACCTGTAGCAAGTCACTAGCCAGCATCAGATTAACTTTCTATAGTTTGGTTTGTAAGCATTAGTTATGTTTTACGGGTTGATCACGGATTGATATCAGTTAGAGAACCATTGAAAACCAGGGAGTACTGGACAGCTGCTGTTTCATCCTAGTTTCCGAATCATCGGCAGTACGCACCCACTGGGATTCGAACCCGGGACCTTCCGGTTACAAGGCAAGCTCGTATACCATTCAGCCACTGGGACCCGATTCAATCGCTCGTGAATTCTAACTTCTACTAATTCGTGATTTAGCGCGACCCCAACCATTGTCGTTGGTGGGACATCCATCCACACACGTGACATCTAATTGGACCTCAATGGTCACGACTTCTCACTAGAACTCAGGAAACTCCAACCTGTAGCAAGTCACTAGCCAGCATCAGATTAACTTTCTATAGTTTGGTTTGTAAGCATTAGTTATGTTTTACGGGTTGATCACGGATTGATATCAGTTAGAGAACCATTGAAAACCAGGGAGTACTGGACAGCTGCTGTTTCATCCTAGTTTCCGAATCATCGGCAGTACGCACCCACTGGGATTCGAACCCGGGACCTTCCGGTTACAAGGCAAGCTCGTATACCATTCAGCCACTGGGACCCGATTCAATCGCTCGTGAATTCTAACTTCTACTAATTCGTGATTTAGCGCGACCCCAACCATTGTCGTTGGTGGGACATCCATCCACACACGTGACATCTAATTGGACCTCAATGGTCACGACTTCTCACTAGAACTCAGGAAACTCCAACCTGTAGCAAGTCACTAGCCAGCATCAGATTAACTTTCTATAGTTTGGTTTGTAAGCATTAGTTATGTTTTACGGGTTGATCACGGATTGATATCAGTTAGAGAAC